CTGACTAATTCTGTTTTCCATTTTCAACATTTCCTCCTTTTGTCAGGTATAGCTTAAGGTAAAATCTTCTTTTTAAGCCACAGAAATTCTTTAAGATTTATGCTTGTATAGCTCAGCAGAGTGTGTCTGTAACTCTATAACTCTATATAGTCAGGGTCATCGTCCCAGAAATAAGTGAAAGGTGCTGCTGGCTGAGTGACCCTTTAGAGCTGTCACTCAGTGGGAAGTGACAGAGTGCCCCTATTAGCAGTCACTTACAGGATATTTTTATCTGTCCTTGTAGTCCTCTCTGGCTGCAGGTATGTTTCAGTGGCACAAATTTCCACCATTTTTTTCTAAGATCCAGCTGTCTAGCAGTCCTGTTTATTTGGTATAGGATTTAGTACAGACACAGGTAGTGTAAAGTTGGCAATCCCCCGGTTTATGCTGCTGTCAAGCCTGGTCTTATAATGTAACTTGCTTCCAGGAAGTCTCTCTAGTTTTACATAGTTTTGTCCCTTTCTGGTGTGAGAGACCATATAATGTAAGGCCTTTCTAAAGAGACCAGCAGCTGCATAAGCTTTATAACCTGAATTTTTAGACAGGCATAAAGGTGCAGAGCAGTTAAACACAGCTGAACCTTACAGTGATCATGTCTGTCACGTTGTGCCTCCCCACCTGCGTATATTCATCAGACCTTTGTCTTGAAGTTTAGAAACTTTTTGTTTTGAGGGATGCAACTTTGAATTTCTCTTGTGATAGAATTGATCAGCATAGATGTTTTCTTAGAGCATGTTCCTTAATTGAGTCTCTCTACTGAAAAAGACTGCATTCAGCTTTCTGATGTGGATCTTGTTTCCAGATGAGGACGTAATTAGATTTATTGGGGCCTTGGCAAACAGTAAATTCATACTTATTGTGGATTTTAGGAAAGTTAGGTATGTGAAAGAAAATCTCTTTGTTGTCAAAGGTGAGAGTCTATGAAGGAAGGCCACAAAACCCAATTAAACAGTTCTCTGAGAATATGGTTATCCTTTATGTTTGGGATGCCAATACCTGAATATGATTTGATGCAGGGCATTTGTAGGTCCAATTCTGGGAGGATTTCTAAATGAAGAGCTGGGTTTTGAATGGGCTGCAGCCATCCAAGGAGGATGGCCACTGTTAAGTGTAAGTAATTAAACGTTTATTTTTTCTTTATCTATTACAGTTATAAGCTATTGCATAAGTTTGTTATAAGTACTACAGTTGTAACTGGCTGTTTTCTCAAAGGGTCTTGCAACTGGAATATTTTATATCATTGAGGCAACAAGGAAAAGGTATGCTGAGATATTTATTCTTTATTTTGCTTGCAATCATATAAAGCAAACCTTTGAAATCTGTGCTTGCATTTTTTCTCACTACCAGCCTAATAATGAATGATAAGATGAGCAATAAAAACATTGCTTAAGTACTTTGTCTGTATGGTTTCCTAAATCCCTACTGACCTAAACAGACAGCTAAAACCGGCAATTGTTTGGATGGTCACATGCAGAGGGCAGTGGTCAATGGCTCAATGTCCAGACACAGACTAGTGATGAGTGGTGTCCCTCAGGGGTCTGTCTTGAGATCAGTACTGTTTAGTATCTTACCAACAACTAAAAGAAGGTAGATTCAGACTAGATATGAGGAAAAAAATTTTACAATGAGGGTAGTGAAACACTAGACCAGGTTGCCCAGAGAGGTAGTGGATGCCTCATCCATGGAAACATTCAGGCCCAGGGTGGACATGGCTCTGAGCAGCCTGGTCTAGTTTAAGATGTTGCACCCATGGCAAGGTAGCTAGACTAGCTGACCTTTAAAGGTCCCTTTCAGTCTGAACCACTGTATGATCATGGGAATGAACAGTGAATGGTTCTGTGCAGTACTAGGGAACCAAATCCAGTGATCCATGTAGTTCTTTGCATATAATGTGTGTGTTCTTTGCCTATTATGTTTGTATCACATAGAAGTCTCTAGAGAATATAAAATGTGTATCTCTCCTGTTCTTTTCCTTGTGCAAACAGTTCCAGTTCCAGCCTGCAAAATCCTCCTGGTGATAATGAAGAAAGGACTCGTCTAATGGGCAATGAAATGTAGCCAGTCGTACTTTCAATTCTGTGTGCTGTTGTGGTGTAACCTAGTATTGAGGTGACTGGCCTTAACACTGCTTCATTATTCTGGAGCTGGGACATGATCCCTTAGTGAACAACCAGTTGTGGTTTAATTGTAGAGGCATTACTGTTTTGAAACACTAAACACTGACTGCCTTTCTTTTGGAAGTTCTCGTAAATGATGAGTAACACTTAGCTGTCAGCCTATTTAATTGTGTTCCATGTACAGTGCACCACTGTATGTGAAAAGATGTCTGGTTTCCATGCTTGTGTGTGCTGTGCATTATTCTTGCGTAAAGCTACTGTTTTGCTACCATGATTTTCTGTATTTTTTTAAAGGAAGTTCATTATCTTGTAAAAACAGAATTTGAAACTATAAAGGACGAAGCACAATACTGTTTTCAATAAAGCAACTTTTTCCCTAAGTTTTGTACATTTTCTTAGATAACAAGAGTCTAAAATACTTCTTGTCTACCAGCACTTGTGTTATATTGAGAGTGCCTGAGAATGAGATGCAAAAATAATGAAAATTTGCCATATCTACAGAGTAAAACTGATCTTCAGTCCTGGGGGAGACTTGTCATCTGGTAAATACATTTATATACATACACAAAAGATAAATGCATGTTTGTATTATATATGAAGACCTAGCTTGGTGATTTTAAGATTTATTTTGCTAATAAATGCTAGCTGGAATGTTAGTACTAATTGCTTCTGCAACAGCAAATCTATAAGGTCTCTGGGGCTACTGTGGAAAAAAAACCCAACATTTCCTCGCCTCTTCCGGTTGCTCAGCTAAAGATATTCAAGGAGAACTGAGACAAGGACACTCCTGACAAACTTACACTAGACTTCTTGACCTCGGTTGTGACAAAAGTCTTTTAATTTGTCATTGAGCCCATAACTGGCTTCTAGAAGGGCTTCGCTGTGGTGGCTTTTTACCATAAATAAGAAAAGTGGTCTGTCCTAGCAATTTCCAGTCAGTTTCTTCTGTGAATAGTTCCTGGATTTTACATAAGAAATACTTCTTTCTCTGCCAGAGCTCTTTTGGACTAGAAAGAACAACTGCTGTGGTAGCCAAATGGGCTGTGGAACTTCAGGGTACCAAAGGTCAGGCTTCCCCATGGAACATCTTTTTAATAGCTTCCTTTCCATTTTGTATCAGACATTAGACTTTACTGAAACCAGGAATGTACACCTCAACTTACTAGGAAATGCTGACCATGCCAGTGCTGATGATGAGCCAGGTGAGAAGGAGCTGAGAGGATTAGAGTTGAATGCAAGATTTTTAGTTTCTCCATATTTTTTTTCTTTTCCATGAGCAGTGCAACTTTTTTGTGACAGAGAAACCATTTAATTACCCCAAGGATCCAGGATTTGTGACTTTCAATACATTCTTTGGCTACTTTGGCATTTTCACTTGTGCAGACATACTCTACCATGACCCAGATCTGGTCTTGGCAAGCAGATTTCAGATTGACACCATTCTGTTCCTAACTGCTTGGGTGAACACCCTTCCAGTGTTGTCAGCTGTCCAGTTTCACTCAGCATGGACCTTGGGAATGGGGGTCAACTTCCTTTCAGCAAATACACATTCTCATAGGCAACATTTGTATCTGTGTAGTGCAGCTGACCTGAGCAGAAATTCACATCAGCTTTAAGCATGCATACTCATGTCAACAGGACTAGGACATGAGAACTTGTAAAGTTCTTGATATAAAGGAAATAGAAATGTGCTATGTAAGAACTTGGAAATTCTTAAGTTGACTACAACACCTCTAGTCTTTAATAGTTAAATAATCAGTCCTGGGTGTTTATGAGTGATATTCTTCATCTTCTGGCCCTGGTGTTTTATTGGTATTTTGGCCATGTAAAGACCCAAACTTCATTTTGTCCGCTAGATGGAACCCTAACTCTGAGAAATGTTCTTGTGAGTTCTGCAAATAGTAGTTCTGGGCTGCAGACTTTGAGTGTCACATTTTCTTTGTAGGCTTTGTTTTCACTGTATATTTTTCCTGAGCAGATGCAAGAAGTCAAGCGCCAATTTTGTGTGCATGTGTTTACAGAATTGAGAGAAACGTACTGCTAAAATGTAGCTCTAAATTTTGCCATCCAAATAAAAGGACATGTGAGCCATTCCGTTAGTTCTCAGTTGATGACCGTATGTCACAATTGATACTCTTTATGAATAGGTTTTACTCTGGGCTTTAAAGATGTCTCTATTTATGTAAAGCACTTGCATAAAGAAGTGAATTTTGGTAATATCTTTTCCTTACAAACTTTTTGATTGGATAGTGTTACCACCCATTTTAATCAGAATTACTGATTTCTAATGCAGTTAGAGAAGAATGCAAAACTTCAGCCATTTAAATCATATATAATCAGGACACTAATCTTGTCACTTAAAATACATGAAATACCAGAGTTTGATCTACTTTCCATTGATGGTAAAAAACCATTAGGTTAAGATTGTAGTCCATGAAGGCTCAATTTCGTTTCAAAACAGTCTGGTAAACATTAGAATTACATTTTGCACATATATAATTAGTGACTACTGCTTACCTGTCCCATATATTTGCTTTCAGATTAGAAACTTTCTTGTGTTATATGTTTTCAGGGAGTGGTATTTATGCCCCAGATGGTCCAAGAGCATATTGCTACAATACTGAAATGGATAATGGTCACCTTTTGGTGAACTGAGTTCACACCCACATCTCTCTCCTGACTCCTGCTGCTGTTAACTGGACATTGTATGCCAGCCAGATCAAACATCTTGCATCAAACAAATACTCTTTTCAGTGGGATCATTTACCATGATCTCTTCTCCTTCATGGAACTCACTGAATCTGAGGGAAATCGAGCCATATGCCAGCAGGACCTCTGTTGCCATCTCTTCCAAGACAGTAGAGAAGCAGCAAGATGAAATTTATGTCCTGGGTGCCTTTGATGTTGTTGAATGACAGTATTATTTGCAGGTAAGAATTTTCTGCTCTTATTTGAACAGTGAGAAGGCTGCAATACTCTCTTTGCAGTCTGTTTGCTTTTTTGGGGGGATTTTTTCTGTTTTTTTTTTTTTTTTGGGTTTTTTTTTTTTTTTTTTTGGGGGGGTTTTTTTTTTTTTTTTTTTGGGGGGGTTTTTTTTTTTTTTTTTTTGGGGGGGTTTTTTTTTTTTTTTTTTTGGGGGCTTTTAAAAAAAGGCTTTTTTTTTCCCCCCCCCCCCCCCCCCAAACATTTGTTTTCTTCATTATACATTTTGACTTCATTAGCAGTCTTAATCTGCTTTTCAGTGTCATAAATTATGGAAGTGTAGACCTTGGGTTGACCCTATGCTGTAACACCCTTAAAGGTGAGGGAACCCAGCAGTTTTGGCAAGGACAGGAGAAGATGAGTATGTATGCTTCTCTGCTGACTGTACATCTGTGACATATCTGCAGAAGTTGCTCTTAATGTTTTGCAGGTTGTAGGTTTGTCAGGATTTATTATTGAGGGGAGACCTTATTGCTCCCTGCAACTACCTGAGAGGAGGCTGTGGTGAGGTGGAGGTCAGGTTGATCACTTTTCCCAAGTGACAGGACATGAGGAAGTGGCTTCAGGTTGTACCAGAGGAGGTTTAGATTGGTTACTAGGAAAAATATCTTCACTGAAAAGATTGTCAAGCATTGGAACAGGCTGCCTAGGAAGGTGGTTCAGTTGCCATCCCTGAAGGTATTTAAAGAATGTGTAGATGTGGTGCTTAGGAACATGGTTTAGTGTTTGGTTTAGCAGTGCTGGTAATTGTTGGACTTGATGGTCTTAAAGGTCTTTTCTAACCTAAATGATTTTATGATTCTAAGCAGGTTTCTTTATGTATGTATGAAAAGGACAGAAGAATGTACATCTCTCCCAGTCTTCATAGGGATGCTTTTGTGACAAGAGAGCTGTTTTCTGCTCAGTGGTTTGTACCGTTGTGCTGATATGATTATCTACCATCCGGTTATCTAACAAAATAAGGAAATTAAATATGGATATACCATTTGTATTCTCTTGGCTTGTCAGTGTATTGATTCTTCACCCCACACTTTTTTTTAGTGTGCTGAAAATCATTTCTGTATACATAGAAACATATAGAGAACTATACAGAGTATATAATAAATAAATCCAAAGATGTTTTAGATTGTTTTTTTCATCGTGACAGCTTTCTTGCTATCAAGTCCAGCTCATGGTTGCTGAAAGCTTAGTGATGATTTGCCTTTCTGTCTCCTCCTCCCCACAGGTCTGCACTCTGCCCACCCGAGCACACATGGGCAGCCCGTGGAGACGGCTCAGACCAAGTTTGAGATGTTCTCCCTCAGCGGCACGTTTGGCACCAGCTACGTCTTCCCAGAAGTGCTGTACAGCGGGGTGCAGCTGGCCCCCGGGGAGTTCGAGGTAATGGGGCACCCTTGTGGTTTGTCAGACATCAGTGGTCAAAAAGCCACTACAAGAGCAACTTAGTTGTTACCAGAGTCCTCTGTCCTCTGCCTTGAGTTCAAGGCAGCTTTCTTTCTGCCTGATTTTCCTGGCTGTATTCATACAGTAGGACCACCTTGCCAATTCTCTTCTGCCCTGTTCCCCCAAATCCTCTAGAGCCAGATCTCCCTCAAGACAGAAATGCAGTTTTTCTCAGACTTCCTGCTAGCTCCAATTGAGACTGGAGCTCTCTCAACTAGATCAGCATTACTGAATATATGATTTTGTGTTTGCCATACAGTAGTACTGCTTTGATGCTGCTCCTGCTTATTTTACTTTTTCATAACCAGGTGCTAGCTGATGGACGTCTGAAAAATCGGAATACTACATCAAAGCCAGTTTTGAGTGTAACACTCTATGGGAGGTGGTATGAAAAGGACCCTCCATCCACATATCAAGCTTCAGCATGATTTCACTGCAGATCCTTCAATCTTTCATCTGCTTGTTTCTGTAATGCTAATTAATCACAAATAACGGTAATTCATAGTAGTATTCATAATTAAAATGGCATTCTGTTCCTCAGTTTGCCTTATCTCACAGCACAGTTACTGCACTTTGATTTATTGACTTGATTTTGCAGCAAAAATCAATAGGATCTTGGACTGTTGTGTGTATGTATTTTTATATGGTAGATTTGGTTTGCCTTCACATTGGGAACACTAGAAAATACATTCCTCTGATTTTAGTGGTGTAGGATTCAGTGGGTTGTGCCCCAATAATAAACAGCTTTTAATTATTTGAAGTTTTTGTTGGAGTATTAGCAGCCATTTCCACAACACTGTTTCCATCCCGTTTCTGAACAGCCACTTTTGTAAACAAGAGATTACCAGAACCTTTGAAGATTCTAACTTCCTTTGAAAAGGAAAACAAGCCTAAGATCCATGTACCTTCAAAAAACAGTTATTCAGCTCAGGACACTGCAGTGTGTTATCAACCATGATATGTACTTCATGAGAGAGGAGTCTGCTTTAATCTTTCTGGCCACAGTTTCAGGATGTGGAAAATCACCCTAGCACAGAATTGTTGATAACTGTTTGTGTCACAAATGCTGAAAACAAGCAATTTCTCAGGAGCATGTCTGTCTTCCCATGGAGTGGTGGCTCCTACCGGTGCTAGGGAGAGCCGGGACTGTGTCAGCAGGTGTTGGGTAAGGGGAGTGAAGAGCTGGAGCAGGGGGGACACGCTGACACGTGTGAGGATGTGGGTCCTGCAGACTGTATTTGTTAGGCAAGTGGACTGGAGTGCTTTGTGTTTCCCGGCTAAGATTTCTATGTGTGCCTAATTCTGTTGTTTGTTCTGCAGGTTTGCTCTGAAGCACAAACATTAAAATTAATCTGACCAACAACATTAAAAAATTGATTTGCAGGTTTTTTTTGTTTTGTTTTGGTTTTTTGTTTGTTTGTTTGTTTGTTTGTTTGTTTTGACAAGGGAGTGTCTTAAAAATAAGATTGTATTCTGTGAAAGTATCAAACTCAAACCCTCTACAATTCATGTAGTAGAAGTAATGAGAAAGAGTCTACTCTTCGGGGAGGAAAAGCACTGTATCTTTAAATTTGTACCTGCGCCTAGGAAAAGCTGTCCTGTTAGGGCACCAGTAACATAACTACGTGCTGTTGGCAGAAGTGAGCGCCTTGCGACTTCCCGACTGCAGCTCACCCGTACTCCGTGCTCGGCAGTGATTGCGTGGCTGCCCAGTGACCTTTCACACAGCCTCCTCCAGGCAAGGTTAACCCTTGCAATGCGCAGTCTGCCTCACGCTCTCCTCTCGCTAAGCTCAAGAAAAGAAGCTGGAGCACAACCTGACTACAGACTCCCTCTACAGCTAAGCTGAATTAGCACCACACTGCATCCTGCTTCACGAAGTAAATCCTCAGGTAGCCCCCACTATCAGGCGGTGGCAGCGATGGGGACGGGCGCAGTACAGGGGTGGGAAGAGTGAATTGGGAGGAGAGAGGTGTGGAAAGTAGGCGGACCTCTAGAGAAGTTTCCCCTTTCGTTGTCCACAGCCCCGGAGAGCCCGGATCACTGCAGTTTGCTTCCGTTTATTCGGTGGATTTGTTTGTTTACCTGGTATCAGTTCCTTGCTCCTGGGCGAGCTCCCAGCCCCGCAGGAAATAGGGAGCGGTGTTTGCTGGTACAGACGCAAACAGGGATAACTCCACTGCACCTTGTGCCAGCAGTGGGACTCGAGTTCTGCGGGGCATTCCCCTAGCACTGCACTTGTAAATATTTCTGCTCAGCCCTGGCCGGGCAGTCACCTTTCTGGTGACTCCTCGCTATTGCTAAACAAGGGAGTATTTGCACCTTCCTCTTTCACCCTGATGTCTGATTGTGCCTAATGTGACTCAGAAACTGTATTTCATTAGTTTAAAAAGTGAGGCAGGGAGGAAGGCTTCCAAGCTACATTAGTTCAAATATCACCGAGATCTCTACTGCAGCCTTTAAAAGGCTTGTGTTTAAGGCTACAGAATGAGCATGCTGGATGTAGTGATGTATGTAGAGAAGTATTTAGGGATGAACATCATCAGATAAAAATCAAAGTTCCTAATGATTGAAACCCTCAGTCAGCACTACTCTGTGAGAGAACTCGGTGGTATCTGCATTCATCTGCAGGTCTGTGTGTTCTGAACCACAGCTCTACAGTGACAGTCTGCTGTAGCTGAAAGCTACTGTTCTGATTCCCAGTGCCCAGACAGCCTTTTTCAAATGAGAATACTGCAAATACTAGAAAGTCAAAAACTGGAAAATGTCATAGCAACAAATGGATTTCAAGTGAGTTGAAGGTTAAAAGTGGAGTCCTCTCAATGCACAGCAGGTTCCTATGGACAGAAAGATGTGCAGAGGAGCAGACATGCTACTGCACCTGGTGAACTAGCCTGCTCTTTTGCTTCAGGCTAGTGAGAGACAGGTAATGAGTTACTGAGATGCCTTATTTCAGAGGAAAAAATCTATCCAGATGAATATTTTCTGGTGGAAGGCTGTTGGAAAGTGATGCCCAGCTAACGAGAAGTGACTGGGAGATACACTGGGACAAACTCAAGGGACAGTTCTGTTTCTGGCCTGTTGGGTGCATGACATCTAAGTACAGTGAGATACTGATGCAATTTGTTTGATCTAGAGAAACTCAGAAGCAAGCTGCACATACTGACACATAGCACAGGAATTGAGGAATACAAAGATACTAGAATAAATAAGTTTTTATTATTCTGAGTTTTGCCACTCAAAATTCTCAGAAGACTAGCTCTGCTGGTGGCAATATCCACTTGGATATCAGCTGAGTCCACACAGAAAAAGTCTTGCTGTAATCAGTGATAGAGAAGAGTACAATAACAAAAACTGGGCTGTTCTTTCTAGATATTATTTTAATGACTTATTTTTTTCTTGGCCCCATTAGTCTTGGCATTGCCCAGCATTTTTGGTTTGTTCAGTTGTGACGTCTTTACTGTGTACTGCAGTACTTTCTTATATCTCACACTTGGTTCCCAGGTAATGCTTTAACAGACCTACAGTTCATTCCTCCCTCTTTCAAAGTAAACTTTGTCCCCTTTCTCTTTTCTCTGCATGTTCCTTTTACACTGTTTGTCCAGAGCACTCTAGGAGCTGGGAGGCTGCAGCCATGCTCCCTTCCCAGGCTCTCCTGCCCGCGGTGGTGTTGGCACTCGCAGCCCTTCAGGCCCTTGCCTCCGACACCTTCATGGCAGCCGTCTACGAGCATGCCGTCATCCTGCCGCATCCCAGCGAGGAGCCCGTTTCTCCCAGCCATGCTTTGGCCCTGATGAACAAAAACATGGATGTCCTGGAAGGGGCCATCAAGGAAGCTGCTCAGCAGGTATGGGGGCTACCGCCATGAGGGTTGTCCATCAGTGTTTTCTGCTCCTGCTGACCCTCCTGGCTGTCTGCTGATGGGTGCCCTTTAAACGGAGCCTGTTGTGACAGGGTGCCCACATCATTGTGACTCCTGAAGACGGCATCTATGGCTGGCGATTCACAAGAGAATCCATCTACCCCTACCTGGAGGATATCCCTGATCCGGTGGTGAATTGGATTCCCTGCACTGACCCCTCAAGGTGATTCCTTCTGCAGTGGTTTAGGTGATTTCAACCTTTTATCTATCTCATGGAGTCTTGAGCAGCTCACATTAAATTACTAAGAACTGCTAACAACTCTAACATAAGTTATTATTGAAATTTATTATGAAGGTAGTTAAATGGTTAAAGATATAGCATGTCCATGACTAATTGATGAGGGAAACATTAAGATTTTTTTTTCAAGTTAGATACTTGAAAGAGAAATGCAAGCAACATGCAGAATTTGGATTACTAAAAGTTGAGAAAATGTCTTTTTTTGGTGCCAGAATATCTTGCTTCTTGTTCTGCTTTCAATTCTTCCACACTATTTTGAATAGAACTGACTGTAAATGATTAACAGTAGTATTTCTTTGATTTTTTTTTTGTTTGTTTGTCTTTTACAAATGACATGTTGAAACAAAAGTGCACAAACCTTTTTTGTGGACAGCCAAGAAGTAGTCTCTGAGCAGATAATAAGAGGTGATGAAGTCAGTAATTAAAGTCCAAACTTCTAAATGATAAAAACCCAGGAAGTTTTAATCTTGGTTTCCACAGTTAAGGTAAGATAAAGTCTGAATTGCTAGAGTCTCTGTGCTGTAGAGCTTGATCTGTCATTCAAGCAGCATGTTTCAGCAGTGAGAAACTAAGCTATAACTGAGGCCTGGACTTTAGACTCCTACAGCATGCAATACGTATTCAGCTATGGAATTACAGCCATGGGCTGCCCTTTTCACCATGGCTTTCTGCACCGCTTTGATGAGGTGCAGGTTATTGTGTTAAGAGTCACAGTTGCACTGGATGTGCAACTTTTTGCTGAGATATAAGTAGATAAAGTATACAGTGTTTCCTTGAAGGTGGAGTGTGGGCTGGCAGTGTGCCTAAGCAGATCTTTGTTCTAGCGCATCACACAGGTTTAGCAGAGGTGATCTGAGTGACTCCTCACTGTTCCAAATCAGGGGTTTCACTAGCAGTTTTTGGGAATATAACACTTGCCATCAGTATCTGGCATGCCTTATTCCTGGTGCTGTGTGTGTATCTTGCCTGGAGGTCCTCCTAGTGTGTCCCACACACACCTTTCAAAGCCATAGGCATTGCCACACTACAAATGGCTGCTCTCTTTATGACCTGGTATGGATGCTTCAGAGGAGCTGCCAGTTTCTGGCTCATGGACCCTGTTATATCTCAAAATTATTACCCACTGCTCTTCATGCCATGGTTACAGGTCTGTGTGCTCCTGTCTGTGGGAGGAAATGAATTGCTGAATTGCCTTGACCATATCATCGGCATTACCCCACATCTCAACCCTGCTTGGTGTGCTAAGGGCCCAGAGCTGCAGCCCTCAGGTGTCAGTATGCCTGATGCTAAAATATTTGTTTGTGGGACACCAAGCTAGTGTCTTCCTCTGCCCAGAGGTTGCTCTCGTGCCCTTCCCAGCCCGAGGATTATCTGTGTACTGCAGAGCATGTTCCAGGTGCTGAAGGGGACTGGCAGGCATGTCCCTGCAGGGGCCAATGGGAGGTCTCCAGGGCCTACCCCAAGGTGCAGGAAGCAATCTGAGGAAGCACTGCAGCAACTCTGTGTATCTGCCTACTGTGCCATGGCTGCAGGATCGGAGATGCTGCTGGTGTGACCTCAAGTATTCAGGAAATGGACACCACTGACAGCACAGGTTTTGTTAATTTTGTTTTTCTCATTTCCTAAAATAAATTAGATTTGGTCCAGCACCAGTGCAGGAACGACTCAGCTGCATGGCCAGAAATAACTCCATCTATGTGGTTGCAAATATTGGGGACAAGAAGCCGTGTGACTCCAGCGATCCCAACTGCCCCAGGGACGGTCGGTACCACTACAATACGGATGTCGTCTTTGATGCACAGGGGAAACTGGTGGCTCGGTACCATAAGGTAAAGTGGTCTTGGACAGACAGAAATTCATTTTCCACGACTTCCAAAATGTCTCAGTTTGCGAAGAGAATTAGATGCCAGTCATTGCCCGCTGGGAGAATTTTGTTTTTCTTTATAATTTAAAAGAATATCTCTCTTGCTATGAAGTGTCGATGCCAAATTTGCATTTGCTGTCATGTTTCTCGAAACAGACTGGAATGAAAAATTATTGTTCTGGTGCAATTTAGTGGCATATGATTTTGGTTTACTTCCTCAGTTCATTAGCTCACTACTACTGTAAATTGTGCTGCTTGAGCAGTTTCAGTTTTCAGTGCCAGCTTTTCACCAGACTACCACTTCACGTTCCAGGATTTGAATGTTCACATCCATTTCATCATAAATGAGCAGTCTGACTTCAGAGAGGCAGGGCCTTTTTTTCTGTTGCTGTTTTGGCACAGTTTTTGCACAATGGGAATTATTTGGACATAGAAAAGCAAATGAAAATGCCAGATGGGTGTAAAAAGAGATAAGGATATTGGATTATTTGCACCAAATGGAAGTTCCTCTTTCAGTATTATGTGTATACCTGCAAGTTCCATCAAAGCTGTTTATGAACTGTGTGCCAGATATCATGCCAGTGTGGACAGAGTAAAGTCAGTTTATTTAATGCACTTGGGCCCAGTATTTCATCTGGTTGTTTAGAGACAGTGCCAAGATATCTATTTGTGAGCAAACTGGGTGCGTGAAACACTGGTAACATAAATCTGTCCAGCCTGCTGTGGCCCACATGGTGAATTACAAGTTAAGTAAACTTGAACTTCTTTTCTGGCTTGGTGTCCATATTTACTTTCAGACCACCTGGACATTTATAGAGGACTCTTAATAAATATGTATGTGAAGGAGGAAGAAAATGTTGGAAAGCTGAGAATGTCACAAACTTCAATTTTTCTGTTGTCTGAGAACATCTGCCTTTCCCCCATCAGCACAGCCTTTGTTTTCTACTCTGCAGAGTCCCAAATACTGTCCTCTGCTCCATGCTGGTGCCCTGTACTTCCAGTACTTCTGGGCATCTCCACACCAAAGTCACCAACTTTGTCTCTTGGCACCAGATCCCCCATGCTTCCCTTACATTGCTGTTTCTCTTCTGATTGCATTTGGGTTGCCAGAAATATAAACAAGGTGGGGGGAGTGGAGAGATTATTCTTATGCAGATGACACCAACAGACCTGAAGGGAGCTGGCTGCTTTCCTAGCTAGATGCCAGGGCAATATGTAATATGTGTTCCATATTTTGGGTACAAAGATCATATACTTTTAGCCTGATTTCCTACCTTTGAGGGCTTCCAACACAGGACAAAATTTTTCTTTAGTCATTCTGAATCACTTTAGGGAATGACTCCAAGACACATGATTAGTGAGTGCCTCTAACTCGTTTCTCTATTTTCCTTCCTCTACAGTATAATCTCTTTCTAGGAGAAACTCAGTTTAATTATCCAAAAGAGCCAGAAGCTGTCACCTTTGAGACTCCTTTTGGGAAGTTTGGCATTTTCACTTGCTTTGACATCCTTTTCTATGAGCCTGCTGTGGTCCTGGTGAGCAAGCTGCAGGTGGACACCGTGCTCTTCCCAACAGCTTGGATGAATGTCCTGCCCTTTCTGACTGCAATTGAGTTTCACTCTGCCTGGGCTATGGGCATGCGCGTCAATGTCTTAGCTGCCAATACTCACAACACCAGCATGGAAATGACAGGTAACTTGATTTTCACTCTGTGCAAGAATCTTTATAACCACGAATCTCTTATTCCCTGTTCTACAAAGTGATTTTGCAGAGGAATATAATGTATTTCTCTGGAAGGTGAAGAGACTAGTCACCAAATTTTAAAGCTGATGGATCCTGTTCCTGTTGGTTTCCTAAAGACACAAGAAAACTCGCAGTGTTTTATTTTCCCTAGCTTCTTAGGATTATCTTTTCTTTTAATGGATCTAAATAAGTAGTAGGTCACTGCCCTTATGCCTGAACAGAAATTTTTGTGGTTTTTAAGGCTCTTTTCCTCTCCACTTCTAAGTCTATGATTGAATGCCAAACTGTAAATATACTCATAAACCATATATGTGGCTACATTTATTCTGCCAAATGTGATATTTATTTTTATAGCTGCATTTAACACTTTTACAGAAAACCATTAAAAACACATGTTCAGGCCTGTTGTAGTGACACTGCTGAGATGTCCACATCTTCATTTTAGAATGTAGCATTAATTTTTTTTAGATCTTAGCTTATGGAATAGTATATTTCAGTTACACCAGTATCTTCACTGAGCTGTGCAACCACAGTATTGTTTTGGGACTTTTCGTTGGAAATGCCTGACAGGCTTCTGCAGTGATGGGTATGACAGACCTTTGATTTCCCTCTGTTGCTTGGTGCTGGTCAGATGTGAATCCCCCAGGAGGGGAGGAGTTCTCAGCCAGTGTAAAGGGGGCTGGACAGTTGCTGTCTCCTTCTGTTCATGCAGAGGCCTGTGATACTTGCCTGTGTTATCTTTTGGATTGTCTCAATCAGTAGCTGGTCCTTTCACATCAATCAACTAAGAAAAAAGGAATTATCAACTCTATTGGACACAGGGGAAAAGAGAACTCAGGAGGTCATAAATATAATCATAACATAACATAAAAAAACCAAACATCCTCTGGCTACACTGAGCAGACCTTATCTAAGGGAATAAATGCTAGTCTTTGCCAAAGCATGAGCTCTGTGTACTGAGTTGCAATGGTCACCTTTGATGAGACTAAAATTACTGTAATCTGTGTATAATAGTGGATAAGCTATCAGTAGAGAAAATTAGAAGGACAACATGATTTTTTAAAATTCTTCTTGGACTGACTACTGTGCTCTCCTCAGGGAGTGGCATTTATGCACCAGCTGGAGCCAGAACATACTCCTACAACATGAAAACTGAAGATGGTCACCTCCTCATTGCTGAACTAGATGCACACCCTCGTCTTTCTCCTGCCTCCCCACCTGCTGTCAGCTGGAACTCATATGCTTTGAGTGTTGAAAGATTCTCACAGAATGACCATGAATTCACAGGAATCGTCTTTGAAGACCTCTTTACTTTCACAGAGCTCACTAAGCCTGGGGGGAATCTCACTGTCTGCCAAAAAGACCTCTGCTGTCATTTGAGCTACAAGATGGCAGAGAAAAGAGATGATGAAGTTTATGTGCTGGGTGCTTTTGATGGCCTTCATGTTTTTGAAGGACAGTACTACCTGCAGGTAATTCTTTGGAAGGTGTTATTTACTTTAGGAAGCTTATTTACAGGGAGAAACTTTCAGCTCTGTGGTGGAAAAAGAGAAGACAATAAGTGTCTTCTATGCTGGAGTCCTGGTGCACCTTTTGTTAGTAATGGAAAGGAGTTGCTAAAACTTCCAAGCCTAGTTGCCTTCAAATCCAACAAAAGCAGTAGAGAGGTCACTAAACCTCTTCCAAATGCTCGGAGTGCACTCACTATTTTAGGGGTGTGCAATGTTAGCTAAATTTAGGTTCTCTTCTGTGAATATCTGCAGTAAGTGTTCTGAATCTCCTCTGTATCACAGAATCATAGAATAGTTAGGATTGAAAAGGACATCTGAAGATCACATAATCCAATCCCCCTGCCAAGGCAAGGTCACCTAGAGCAGATTACACAGAAACATGTCTGGGTGGCTTTTGAACGTCTCCAGAAAAGGAGTATCCAAGACCTCCCTGGGCAGCCTGTTCTGATGCTCTGCCACCCTAAATGTAAAAAACTTTCTTCCTCATGTTGAGGTGAAACTTCTGTGTTCTTATGGCTATTGCTCCTCATCCTGTTGCTGGGCACCACTGAAAAGAGCCTGGCACCATCTTCTTGGCACACACCTTTGAGATATTTATATGTATTGATGAGACTCCTCTGTCTTCTCTAGACTTAACAGGCCTAGCTCCTGCTGTCTCTCCTCTTAAGAGAGAAGCTCCTCATTCCTAATCATCCTTGTGGCCTCAGCTGGACACTCTCCAGTAGCTCCTTTTTTTTTTCTTGTGCTGGAAAGAAAGAGGAGCCTGGACATAGTACTCCAGATGTGTTCTCACTCTATTTTCCTCAAAGAGTTGCTGTTAAAAATCAGTTGATAATAGTTATCTTTATGAGATGCTCTGATAGGTTAGGGTCACAGAGATGTTAATTTGTTTGTCATTATCCAAATCATAGCATTGAATCTTACTTAAATGGCTTGTGACTTTTAGTGGAAAAATCCTCCCTTCCTCTTTTTTAATAAATATTTGCAAAGACAGTGAGTTACATCCTGCTTGAATTTGCTTAAAGCCATATTTGAAAACATCCTTTGCCTTCATAATTAAGTTATTGTGCCAGCAGATTGTACTTCTTTTTAGTTACTTCTGTCTGTCAGCATCACCATTTTGTACCAGCTGGTACAGACTGGGAAATGAGGGGAGGTGTTATCCAGCAAACAGCTCATCTAATACTAGGAAGGCAACTTGAATAAATTCAGTTCTTGATGAGCTTGGTTGTAAAATTTATTTCAGTGGTTGTGGAAGTTGCCAGATAGTCTCTGACAGAATTGAAAGTTCTAGAGAATACAGGAATTTCTACTCTTCCTTTTTCCCTCAATATTTTTTTTCATTTCCTCAGAACATATTCCTTATTTCTCTGCTTATTTGCATTTCAACACAAAACCATATTTGAATAATAGTTCTGATTTTTTGCAAATATTCTTCTATCCCCCAATAGTAGACACGTAGCAAAACTCCATCACCTATCAGCAAAACTAGACAATATCCTTCAAATGATTCCTGAATCAGAAGAGTGCTAGCCCTATTTCATATTTCCTCATGAAGACCATAAACATTTATCAGCTGGATAATTAACTTTCATGACAAAAGGGAAACAACATTGTGATTCCTACTTTATGTGCTGCAACTACTAACACCAAACTGTAACAAAAGATACTAACTTCATTCCCTTGGCCTATATTAATCAGGATTTGGACAGGGAATATCAAATTCAGACTTCCCATGGACTACCAGGCCATCTAATGAAGTACCATTAGCAACATGTACAATTAGCAGTAAAAGGATCTGGATGTGCACTTGTACAATGTACCTATGTAGAAGACTTTGTTTTGTTTGCCTAAAGTTTCCATTCACAAACTCATCTTACTAAGACATGTGGGAAAGAAACTTTCAAATAAGACAATTACCAATTGAAAGAATTAGTGGAAGGGACAGGATCAGGCTTCAGAGATAAAATAAGGTGCTTTGGCTGCATTTATGTCAAAGACAATTTATTTATAAAATTATAAGACTAAGGCAATGCGGGTCTGGAATATGCCAAATCAGATCCCAAGGGATAAAAAAATAAGCTACAACTGAAAAGTTACCATCTTGGTACCAGTGTTACCATGAGCGCCTTGCGACTTCCCGACTGCAGCTCACCCGTACTCCGTGCTCGGCAGTGATTGCGTGGCTGCCCAGTGACCTTTCCAGCCTCCTCCAGGCAAGGTTAACCCTTACACTGCACAAACTGGGATAACTCCACTGCACCTTTTGCCGGCAGTGGGACTCGAATTCTGCGTGGCATTCCCCTAGCACTGCACTTGTAAATATTTCTGCTCAGCCCTGGCCGGGCAGTCACCTTTCTGGTGACTCCTCGCTATTGCTAAACAAGGGAGTATTTGCACCTTCCTCTTTCACCCTGATGTCTGATTGTGCCTAATGTGACTCAGAAACTGTATTTCATTAGTTTAAAAAGTGAGGCAGGGAGGAAGGCTTCCAAGCTACATTAGTTCAAATATCACCGAGATCTCTACTGCAGCCTTTAAAAGGCTTGTGTTTAAGGCTACAGAATGAGCATGCTGGATGTAGTGATGTATGTAGAGAAGTATTTAGGGATGAACATCATCAGATAAAAATCAAAGTTCCTAATGATTGAAACCCTCAGTCAGCACTACTCTGTGAGAGAACTCGGTGGTATCTGCATTCATCTGCAGGTCTGTGTGTTCTGAACCACAGCTCTACAGTGACAGTCTGCTGTAGCTGAAAGCTACTGTTCTGATTCCCAGTGCCCAGACAGCCTTTTTCAAATGAGAATACTGCAAATACTAGAAAGTCAAAAACTGGAAAATGTCATAGCAACAAATGGATTTCAAGTGAGTTGAAGGTTAAAAGTGGAGTCCTCTCAATGCACAGCAGGTTCCTATGGACAGAAAGATGTGCAGAGGAGCAGACATGCTACTGCACCTGGTGAACTAGCCTGCTCTTTTGCTTCAGGCTAGTGAGAGACAGGTAATGAGTTACTGAGATGCCTTATTTCAGAGGAAAAATTCTGTCCAGGTTCATATTTTCTGGTGGAAGGCTGTTGGAAAGTGATGCCCAGCTAACGAGAAGTGACTGGGAGATACACTGGGACAAACTCAAGGGACAGTTCTGTTTCTGGCCTGTTGGGTGCATGACATCTAAGTACAGTGAGATGCTAATGCAATTTGTTTGATCTAGAGAAACTCAGAAGCAAGCCACACATACTGACATGTAGCACTGGAATTGAGGAATATAAAGATACTAGAATGAAGAAGTTATTATGACACCCTGGAGCTGTGTCCTGATAAGTCCTCTGCAGGACAGCAATGGAATAAACTGTCTCAAAGTAGCCACAGTGAACCTGCTCATAGTGATTAATCAGACCTATTAAATACATTTCCATGAAATCACTAGATTCAGTGAGACATATGGTGTAACACACCTTCTTCCTGTTTTGTCACATTTTTCTGAGCTCTTACTGTGTTCATATGGGTACTCCTCTAATAAACTCGTTGTTTCACGTTTTTCAATCATGTCCTGAATGACGGATGCTTGATAAGTAAGAAAAAACCCAGCTAAATCAGTCATTACTGTGATACTTTTTGGATGGTGGTATGAAAGGGATCGTCTGAAACAAGACCCACATGATATTTCCATAACTGAATCTCTACACTGTTATTCTTATGTCCAGATGGGATACAGCATCATTTACAACAACCATCCTAATTATGTTTCTCATTTCCAATTGTAAAAACTCATAAATGTGTTTGTTTTAGTAATAATGTGGTTATATTATATTATTATACTATTTCTTGAGAATAATCTATTTCTAAGTCATAAGATTACTAATATTTTATTAGTTCAAAACAGCAGGTTTTTTTTTCTCTGTTTGCTGGATTTTTCTTTTTCTAATCCTTAAAAAGCCTGAAATGTAGTCCAGAGTATTCATTCTTATTAAAACAGTATTGCATATTTTTTCATTGCAGATTATTATAGGACCAGTAAATAAAGCAGTGAAAGATGTGATTTGTGGCAGGTCTGTAGACATGCTCAATATTTCTTTGCCTCTGGAATATGGCTTGTGCTGACTTATGCCAGACTGCTCTTTTACCACAATTAGACCTTTCTTCCCCCTATTTGTGTTGCTTTGGTTTTATATCCTTTATGCCATTGATGCCTATCATGTAGGAAATGGCAACAGAATGCATCATGGAAGCTGAACAAGGACTTCAGTCAAAGTGCTCCTCCTGAAACAAAATGTGCCACCTTTTTTTGGTCAGAACATGATTTGAATCATTATTCATATGAAACTCTGTTGAAATAAAACTTGGAATTGAAACGTCAAATTATTCTGGTTGTCAGTTCTGAAAAACAGCTTGATGACACCTCCTGACTGCACTGGATGCTATTCAGTGACAAAATTTTTACTGCAACCAGTAAACAAGTCACTGAGTGACCTGGTATCTCATAGCAGCTCCTCCCTCCATCTTCTCTATTTCTTTCTGATCATGTAACACCAATGTGTGTGAAATAAGCTTTTCCCTTTGCTCCCTCTTGTTAATGCTGGGTGGTGCTGCCCTGCAGATGAATTTTCTGTACGAATTTGGGGATTTATAGTTCTGTTTCAGACCAGCTAGTCCTGGTAAGATGTCACTGTTCACATTTTTGCTTTCTCTTCTCCCCAGTGACCTGTGTTTTGTTGATGCTGCTGGACCTTAGTGACCTTCTTTCAGCAGATCAGTGTATAAAGATGTGCATGTTCTGTGGCTGGGTCCTTAAGAGTGGTCAGAGACCTGTTTGTGTAATTTCTCCTTCCTTTTCCCCACATAGCTGCCATTGCTGGCCTCACAATAGAATCATAGAATCTTCAGGATTGGAAGAGACCTTTGAGATCATCCAGTTCAGCTTTAAACTTGACATTGCCACTGTAACCCCTAAACCACTA